TTTTTTAAATAAAAATAGGGATTACAAAGGAAAATCATGGAGTTCATGGAGTAGAATAGTGTATCTCTGTGACTCCTGGTTTTATAAAGGAAAATATATGTGTGAAGATACTTGAGAGAAAATTTTTGTTTCTCACTGTATGTTCTCATTTACAAGTTACAGTGTTTCAAGGCTCTCAGATTTATTTGGGAGATTTAGCACTTAGGGTAACAAGTGGTTTTGGTTTTTGTTTTTTTTTTCCCCCTAGTAGGTACTTCTTATCTTCCAGCTTCAGTATTAGTTTAATGCTGTCGTATATTCTGCAGGATCTAGCCCTCGGTTACATTTCAACCAGCAGCTAAACCAAATGAAATTGCAGTACATAATATTAGTAAATGTGTTCATGTGTGTGAATGACTATCTGTCTTTCTGTGTCTATACACACAGTCATGCATATAGTAAGGATGTGTGTCTGTTACGTCAGTATCCCTATCAGACTTCAAACCGAGGTGGTTAAACATAGTGGAATGATAGTGGTGGAAATGATGCTTTGATGATTGTAAAAGAGTAGGATAATGAAGGAGGTGGGGAGGAACCTCTAATTCAGAATCATAGAATCATAAGTTGGAAAAGACCTCTAAGATCATGAAGTCCAATGCCTACTAAACTATGTCCTGAAGTGCCACATCTACACACTTTTTGAACGCCTCCAGGGATGATGACTCAACCACCTCCCTGGGCAGCCTGTTCCAATGTCTGACCACTCTTTCAGTAAAGAAATTTTTCCTAATATCAAATCTAAATCTCCCCTAATGCAACTTGAGGCCATTGCTTCTTGTCGTATTGCTAGTTAGTTGGGAGAAGAGACCAACACCTGCCTCACTACAACCTCATTTCAGGTAGCTGTAGAGAGCAGTGGGGTCTCCCCTCAGCCTTCTCTTCTCCAGACTAACAGCCCCAGTTCCCTCAGCTGCTCTTCATAAGACTTGTTCTCCAGACCCCTCACCAGCCTCGTTGCCCTTTTTTGGACACACTCCAGCACCTCAATGTCTTTCTTGTAGTGAGGGTACTCTGCATGAGAGAGCTGGATCTTGTTTTGCATTTAATCCTATTCGGTACTAACCCTGCTCTCATTTAAAGCAAGAATGAGGTTCCCGGTTGTGTGGTTTGGGGATTTTAATGGTTTTTAAGGATGCTTAGAAAATACTGTAACTGAGTGGGGTAAAAGGAAGAACAGTATAATTTCTTCAAAACACACAAATACTAAGTTCATACATAAAGTTAAAATATCAAATGATGATTTGCTTTGTCACCAGCTTCGGTGTTAAATTGCTAATTTCTATTTTGCGCTGTGATGATACTTGCTAATAATGTCAGATGGTTATATTTTGATGTAAGCTCACACAGTTATGATGCCTTAATTAAACGTTTGAAAATAAAAGAAGGTGTTGAGCTATGTACAGGTTTTATAACTTGAAATGTTTTTCATAAGATTCACACAGAAATAGATTTAACAAACATCCAAATGCTATCCTTGTATTTGAATACTTGTACCAGTATAGTATGTTAGTGTGAAGTCCCAGCACGTTTTTGTCCTGATGGCTTTTCTGGTGATTTTATTTTAGCTGTATAGTTTTTAATTCTTCATCATGAATTTAGTCTCTGTGAAGGCCAAGGGTGGAAACCCTCTATTATTCCAGCAGTACACAGGACTCTCTGCACTGCTGTATCAGGAAATCTCAAGTAACAATTTTACGATGTATGAGGATATTATTCTCTGCAAGCAATAACATGCATTTCTATTTCCCTAGCAATATCCACATAATCAAACATTCACAAGTGCTTTACAAAGAATTTAATTAAATAGTGTGCAGAGTAGCTGGATGCAGCATGCACACAAGCTATTATATATTCAGTAGTTCACATTTTGCACTTAATGCAGAACACTTTTGAGCAGTACAATGCGTGAATGATACATCTATCAAAACATGCATCGTAGCCCCTCCTTTTGTGCCTTGCTCCTTAAAAATTCCACTAAACCCTTAACAGATGTCACCTCCAGGAGCACAGGATACTTTCCTCAGTGCTCTAATGGCATGATCAACAGAGGGAAATACAAATTCTTGTGTTGAGACTTGAACATCAAACATTGTTCCTCTGAAATCAAATGTTTATGAGTCCCCAGAGAAGTATATAGATTATTGTGTCTTTTAGCACAAAACGAGGTGTGTTTGGAATTTTGTTTAAAGGTAGTACAAATTTATGGAGAATCAAGACCGACCACTGAAGAATATTTTCATTTCCAGATTAAGAGCAAGACTGGACATTCAGAGTTTAGACATGGACAATGAGAAGCAAAAGTTTTCTCATTTTGTGATAATGAGTATGTTCAGAGTCCATTCTGTCAGTCACTGGAGATTAAGTCTCTGCCATTAAAGCACAGTGCATCAGACCCTGCATTAGGAAAAGGTAGGAGGGTATTTAGACATTGTAGTACACTTTTTAATTCATTCAGCATTATTGGTATGCTCATGTCACCTGCAGCGATCAGCATGCTGGAAACCAACAGGGTTATCTAGTGTGTTCTGTTTTGTCTGTTCAGAAAAGCCCTTTAAGCATTAGCCAATGCATGAGAGGAGTTTCCAGGCTTGCAGAGCAATGGGGCTGTGTTGGATGAAAGTGATTTAGAATATCCCTCTGTGGTTGTCTACCTGCAAGGCAGTTAGCTGTCCATCAGATTGGAAAGTTTTATTGGTATGTCAGTGCTATGAAGTATTGGTCTAAACCAGCAGACCAATACCAATGACACAAATTCTGAAAGATGGTCTATAATTGGGCTGTAAAGGTGTTTCCTTTACACTTTCACCCTAGTTTCCCAGTTCCACAGAGTTATTCCAGTTTATTACTGGCTGACACTAACAAAATCTGTCCATTATGACTGACAAGAAAGACCAAAACTATAAACGACCCCAAAGGGGAGAAAGGAAACAAAAGGATTGGTTATAAGTAGGGAACCGGTTTTACTTTCATGCTAGTTCGCTTACAATGTCACTTTGCTTGTTTGAGGGAAATTGCTAAAAACTTATTTGGTGCAAAGAAGAACAGAGTCTTTATTCATCGTCTTTAAGATGCCTTTTGGAGGAAAGTTTAATTGCTGTAGGGTAAGTTGGAGCTTTCTTTACAGAGTTGAAAATGGGAGAGATCCCTGTTTAATGGTAATGAAGATTTGCCATTAACTTCAGTGATTTCACCCAGTAGCCTTTGTATCCTCTGTTTTCAATCCTTATTCCTTTTTTGTATAGCAGACAAGAGTTTTTAATTTTGCATGTCATTTATAACAAATTGAAGTTATTCCAAAAATTAGTACAGTTGAAGCTTCAACTGAAGAGGAAAAGGAAGGCATGTAATTAATGTATGTCAAATCTTGGACACCATGTTTTGGATGTTTGCTTTATTTTCTTTGAATAGGCTCTTGTTCTAGTGTCTGCCTTTATACAAAATATTTATTCTTTACCATTTATAGTATGTCTCTGTTTGCAATTTGGATATTTTCAGTTTGCTTGTATTTGGAAGTAGCTGCTAGACTCTCTCTGTACTTCTGCTAGAAGTCTGGGATTTGTAAGCTTCTTGCAGCAGACCCTTTTTGGGAGTGCTGGAATATATCCAAGTTCTTCATTCTTGATATTTCAGTGGCAACTTACTGTGAATCCTGAAGTAGAGCTCCTGCTGTCAGGTTGTTCTCCAAGCCAATTCTACCACACGTATCAGCAAGCCAAAACAGGCAAACTTAGGAGACGTGTCTGTGCTGTGATACAATTTAGAGTATTATTTAGAATAAGCAGGTCGGGATTGTTCTTCAGGTTAGAAGTCAACCCGGAGACCTTTCATCCCACCCAGGGAAGTACCACCTAGATATACTTGTGTTAACTGTGAATGAACTAGCTTTGGAACCAGAAGCAATACAGCCAAATGAGAGCAGTGTGACAGCCAGGCTAATTAATTAAGAAGCCAGGCTAATTAGTTTGGCTGGAGGGAGCACCATGCTGATGTGACAATGTAGCTTCCAAAATTCTGGCTGAGTTTTACACAAATTGCACTAGGCTTCTTGTAGACATGCAAACTGTTTCTGGGCTCTTTCAGATATTTTTGCCAGGGAGCAACATAGTGTATTGATTTACTCCCTGTGTCAATTTACTCTAATTTTAGATTTATTCCATGCTGACAGTCAATTTTAGTCCTTCTCAGTCTTCTGCAGTAAGATTTTTCTAACACATGGGTAGACATTGTAATACTGTCTTGTTCAACCTCATGCCACTGAGAGAAATTCCCCTTCCCATCTTCTTCCTGAAACTTTGTCACTTACTGAATACAAAACCGAAGTAATACTCCTGAAGTCGTGCATGGCACCATTGTTCCAGCCTGAGAGGTGGCTGTCAGCAGTCCGGTTCTCAGAGGATGCGTGTTAGCCATAGTGCACACTGAAAGATGCCTTCTTTTGTAAGAACTGCTGATTCTGAGCAGTTTGCCATCTTTCTGGTTGTTATAAACAATATTTCTTCAGTGCTCCCCTTAATGTCAGTCTTTACATACAGTTTGATGTGTAAGATGTTCATAAAGGAGTCACTTTAATGAAAAGATAAAAAAGACTTGTGGTAAAAGTCTATGTTACTACATTGATATGGTACAGGAAAATATGCGAAGCAGTATCAAACCCAGAAGTAAATCAACAGGGTATTGTAAATAAGCTGTATTCTGTATAGAAGACTTCAATTAGAAATACTAAGTACTGTGTTACAGCAATAACATGGTAATCATGCATGAACAGATAGTGGCATAAGATAAAAAAAGAATATTTTATTAATGTTTCCTGAATAACATTACTAGAGCTGAAAATTAAGTTTTAGGTTTTATGCGTATGTTATTTAAAATGCTTTTAGTGATCACTTATGGCCTTACTTACACTGGCTTTTCAGCATAGTAGCTCCCACAAGGAGTTAACATATATTTTTTTCTGTTTCTAGATCTGTTAGCTGTGCCTAAGCATCCATATGCTGCTATGGAGAACTGGGGACTGAGTGTTTTTGTGGAGCAAAGGATTCTGCTAGATCCAAGCATTTCTTCTATATCATACCTACTGGATGTCACCATGGTCATTGTACATGAGCTATGTCATCAGGTATTAAAGGTGTTCAGATATTTCATATTAATTTCAGAAACCATGCATTCCTTTTCAAAACTGAGAATGAATTTGTGTTGTTCACATAGACAGTTGCAACTTTTATTGTAACGAGTCCAAATAATATGACGAGCTGTAAGACACATCACTACAATGCTGAAACTGGGAAGACTCAAAATGGGGATAGAAGAGAAAATTAGTAGCAATGAACAGCTTCCCTATCTTCTGTACTATTGTATTCTGTATGTTCGTGTGTGAGTGTGGTGTTGGTGTGTAAACTAAACACGATGGTGACTCCAGAAAATGGTTTATTACAGAACTATAACAGATTCATGCAGAGTTTCATGTTCATGTCAAAAAACGTTTTGGCTGAAATCAATTTGGTAGTTATCTTCTTCTTCGATCACATATACATGTACTTCCATTTTCTTTTTCTTTTCATTTTCTTTGAATTTGGTATAGACCCTATGTTCACTAATGATGGATATTTGAGTCTTTATGTGTACAGAAACTTTTGTATCAGTAAGAAAACTTTGTAATAAACCCATATTACAATTTATTTTGTATTTCTTCTATCTTCTTCTCTAAAACTAAACACATTATGAGTGTTTAGTGATATTGAGTTGAATGCAAATGTTATTGAAGAAATTTGCTACCGGGGCAGGAAACCCTTTCTTGCGTTCGTAAGAGGCATAATCGTAGCCTTCAGGTTAAAACAAATGAAATCCTACTGTGTAATCAGCATGGCTTACATCTGTGACTTTACACAGTATTCTTTGAAAGGCAATGCAAATTCTTAACAGTTTCTGCAATAAAAACTACCATATAAAAAAGAGCCTTTGTAATGCAGTTCTGGTAGATGAACCTGGAAATAATAATGTTTGGTTCATATTCATGTTTCACATCAAATCTGTCGATGAATATGAAGTTCTCAACTACAACATGAAATTTTTATTGAAAGTTGTTGCTGGTTTGTTCTCAATACAATCATCTGATTTTGTTGTATGCTCTTTATTGTGCAGTACAATAGAGTAGCACACTCTTCAGCTATAAAAATTACAGTGCCTTAGGAATCAGGTGTGGAAAACACATATTAGGTCATCAAATCCTGGCTCTTGTTAGTATTAGACTCTACCATGAGGTGCGTTTTGTAGTGCTGGGTTCAGTGCTCCTGACTACAGGGTTACGCTGCTTCCCTTAAAACCGTTAGATTAAATCTGACGGTCAATAACTTTTTCCCAGCATTCAGCTTAAGTCTTCCTTTTTCTGAAGTAATTCCATTACTTCCAGTTATTCTTTGCACTGCTTTAATAATTTTAACTGCTTCCAAAGCAATTTATACTTCAGATGTGGGCAATTATCACATCAGTAACTTGCCAAGTTTGTTGATTTGATTCTCATTGAAACTGAAGCCTTTTTACATTGTTCTGGGAATATCAGAGGATCATGAAGTGCGTGAAACCATATTTTAATTTATTTTAGAGTAGCAATGTGGTCATAGAGTGCTTTTAAGTGACCTTAAAATTGCAAATGAGAAGGTTTACTTGCTGTCTGTGTTGATATTACTTCCAGTGCTGTTCACTTAAGTAAAAGTATCTTCCTCCATTCATGTTGCTGCTGTTTCTGTTTTAGTACCACGCAGAACAAGTCCCTGCTCAGCTGCTTCACTGGATAACTACACAAGATAGTGTATATTCAGGTGGAAGAAATATTATTTCTACTTTTTAGATGCAGAATTGAGCCACAGAGAATATGGATTGTTCATCTGCAAATAAAGTTTAAAGGGAGAAAAACTCCAAAAATACAAGCCACAAAACACTGTTTAGCACCTCCATCACATTGTTGTCTTTATTTAGCCATTTTTTTCTGCTTTTATCTTGCCATACTCAGAAGCCCCTCAAGGTAACTTTATCTGTGGATAGCATAGAGCAGGAACTGTAAACAATACTAGCTTAGCTGAAAATGTACTGAACTGAGACCAGGTTAGGTCTAGGATCTCTTACCTCTGCTATTTAATTGTTCACTGCATTATTCTGAGGGATCTGGGATTGTTTAGCCTGAAGAAGAGAAGGTTGAGAGGGGACCTTATAAATGCTTATAAATATCTTAAGGGTGGGTGTCAAGAGGATGGGGCCAAACTCTTTTCAGTGGTGCCCAGCGACAGGACAAGGGGCAATGGGCACAAACTGAGGCACAGGAAGTTCCGTCTGAACATGAGGAAGAACTTCTTCCCTCTGAGAGTGACGGAGCACTGGAACAGGCTGCCCAGGGAGGTTGTGGAATCTCCTTCTCTGGAGATATTCAAGACCTGCCTGGACAAGGTCCTGTGCAGCCTGCTGTAGGCGACCCTGCTTCGACGGGGGGGTTGGACTAGATGACCCACAGAGGTCCCTTCCTACCCGTACCATTCTGTGATTCTGTGATTATTCACTAATAATTTCACTAATAATTCACTGCGTTTTTCATCCTCTTTTGCAGTGCGTCATCTCACCTGCTAGCCTGAGGTGGCATGAATATTCCTCCCCTTCATTCATTTTTACACATATAATAACAGAGATTAACCAAAATCACTTCTTGCAGAGCCAAAAGTAGAATCCACATCTCCAGTTTTACTTTTTATGTATGGATTTTTTTTAAATTTCAGGTAACAGGAAACGTACCTCTCCTAAATTACATTCTCCCAAAATACATTTTTTTCCTTTTTTGAAGAATTGTGTCATTGTCCTGTTTCCCCTGATTTTAAACTCATGACTTTAAGACTTACAGAACATATCTGAGTGTGTAGCAAACTGTCCTGTATGAGACTCTTGTTACTTCAAGTAACACAGCAGTTGCTTGGATAATGTTCACAAGATTAGAAAAATGAGATGAATATTGAGAATTGGGATAGTTACCTTTAGATATGACTGTTTAAAATAGGAATTCCTAAACCTTCTGGGTATTAATGCTTGAGCACAGTGTTCAGGACAGATAGAAAATGACAGACAGCCTTGCAGAAGTACAAAGAAATTCTGTGGTTGTCAAAATACAGGTAAAAAATGTGTAAGAAAGAATTTTATACCCAATTTCTTCACGGGTGATTTTGTAATGCTTGACCAGATATGTATTTTAGGTACATGTTTTAGGAGGGACACATTCAAATTACATGGGTAGCTTTAGTTTAGTAATTTTGTAGGTTGCTAGTGCTTGATATTTCAGCGTGAGTGTTCTCTTAGAACATTTAATGTATTTAATTAAAAAAATTAATAATTGGAAGAAGGAATGTTGTGGCATAAAAGCTTCTCCTACAGGCCTCAAACCACAAATGAGGTGTTGGTCAAAACACACATGTTTCTACCAGCTTATGTTGATACTTGGAAATAATTACCATGATTTATTAAAATAATTCTATTAAGGTAGCAGTCAGTTTTATTTGCATATCACAGATCAGTCCCACCTACAGACTTTGAAGAAAGAGTCATTTGAATTTAGACACCGTGATTTTTTGTGATAGTTTTCCCACCTAAGCACAAAACTTGGTGTTGAGTTAGAGCCATAAAAGCAGAAGGAAAATAAAAAAATCACATGTCAGGCTGAACGTAATACCTGAAGGAGACAAGATATTTATGTAATCAGTACATTTCAATTCATTTTTTTTTTCCAAAAAGAAAAGAAGTAATGATCTTCACTCCATACAAATAGTGCCTATAGTCAAATACACAAATAAATAAATAAACAATTAAATGAATGAAGTGCTTTACTGAATGTTTTACTTTCAGACATGTAACACCTAGGAAGATAATAGCACTTTTCTGCTGGAAAATTTGACTTAAGTATTGCAGTCTCTGGGACTGCTCGGTTTCTGGCGTTCATAACTATCTCGATAGTATTCAAGACTACTTAAGCAAATTCTGTATATTTTCATATTGATATCATATGCTGTTTTAATGCCTGTAAAATATTTCTTCCTTTAAGTGGATAATTAAATAAATAATATTAATTGTATCATCAAAAAACCTGGAAAACTCACAAAGGAGTATAAGAAGTTTCCTTTTGTGACATCATATTTTGAGTTACAGGAGGAGGTATTATGAACTTTGCAATCTTTATTTTTTTAGATCTCTCTCTGAATAGTCACAGCATACCATGACTGTTACTGATTTCATATTTGTTCAGCAGTCCTCTTGTAATTCAAGAAATAAACTCTGCACAATTGTGTTTAGTCTGTTTGTCATCAGAAATCATTTAATCAACCTATTCTAGTGTAAATACAGCTTTTATTCTCCTCTGGTGGTATGCTGCTCTAACATTTCAAATTGTGAAAAGTGCATTATCTATATGAATGCATTTTGAGTATTTCTTTGTCTTTTCAGTTAAATGTTCTTAAGATCAGGATCTATCTCTATTGGTTCTGTAGAGAGTTAGAGTATCGATAACCTTCAATGAGATTATGATCACTGAGTGTCCATTAAGTTTGGTTTCACTTAGTAAGTGAATATGACTTTTGTCAACCTCATCTTTTCTCCGTGAATTCTTAAGTTGGTTGTCAGTGACATTCATTGTCATGTTTAACTTCATTATTTCGTGCAAATCCTATTTACTGTACATTTTGTGGCAATCTGGTAATCTCAGTTTCTGTAGTCTGTTCGTAGGAGCCCCTGTGTTCACTTCACTATGGATACTCATCACAGCATTGATCCTACCTTGGCACAATTCTCACTCCATAAAGACGTGCACAGAAGCGAGACCTTTCATTCAGGTCCCAGACAAAGGCTTCAAATAAGCCAACTGTCGTGAAAGCAAACTGCTTACTGGCCAACTCCTCTTTCATTCATTCCCCACTCCTATTACAGTGTCAGCAGCAGATTCTCTGCTCTGAAATGATTCTTTCCCTCTGGAATGCTTATTTGCTGCTCCCTTTCTGTGTATTTTCAGAGCTTACAGCTCCATGAAAGCTCAAAATTATCTCTGTTGATTATGAATTAATGTCATTTCTAAATACATTAAGAAAAAAACTGGCAGAGAATTTTACTGAAATGAAGTTTTGGAATTTGTTTGGCAAAAAAGATGGTACAGAGAGTATGAAATGAGTTTTCCTAGTAGTGTATGTGTTTCTGCTCTTACCACTGGTGTTACAATGATCCAGGTTGCATAGGGCCATTACAATCACTTAAACAGGGACATCCATCAGCAGAATAATTGATGATGCCTGGTTTCCCTTGAATTTTTGTTCTCATTCCTCTTCCAATGAGCATCCCAGCTCTGTCTAAAATCCCTCTGACACCCTCATGTCCCATACAGTGGCAGATTTGTGGCTGTTGACTGCTACTGAGCAGAGTATCTAATGGCTATGTTCCTGCCTTCCCTCACTTTAAATCCTTCTCTTTACAGCCGCTGATCTGATGTACTCTTGTAAGAGTTTAATTATCTTTTGAGATCTCTGTCCTTCTTTCTAAATTAGACTGAAGTCAGTGGGGAAATTCAAGAGCGACCTGGGGGAAATGGGAAAGGCAGTCAGCTCGGGTAGGGTTCCTGTGGATAAACATAGGTGGCATGTGCCACGTTAGATACCCTCTGCCTCTGGTTGCTGTTCGTGAAGGCTGCATGTGTCCTGCAGTTTCAGTGAGTGGTGCATACTATTGTTTTTACTAAAGCTTGTGAAGAATGTGTTCTGTATAAATGAGAAGTATGAAAACATGGTTTCTTAAAGGCTGTTTATTTGATCTTTCTTTGCAGTGGTTTGGTGACCTTGTGACTCCAGTTTGGTGGGAGGATGTGTGGTTGAAAGAAGGTTTTGCTCACTATTTTGAATTTGTTGGGACAGACTACCTCTACCCAGGATGGAACATGGTAAGTCAGGTGTTTTTTTTGGTAATTCGAAGACTCTACAGAAAAGTTGCTCTGCTGTTATACTCCTGCTTTTGTTATAGACAGGAATGGCTGAAAAATACCAAATGGTGCATGCAAGTATCAGATGTCCAATGAAGCAACATCAGTAGCTGTGAAATAATTTGACAGCATTCCAAAAGTGTAATCTGCAGTTTATTACAAAAGAAATAAGGTCATGTCTATCATAACCCAACGTTAAAATAACTGCTGTCTCTTTGTTCAGAAACATTTTGGATTAAAGCAGTTATGATTTAACATGGACCATTTTTGAAAATATGCAGAATATTGAATTTTATCCACAAACAAACATAAATTGGATAGATATATTTGGCTAAAACATACTGTAAAACTGAGCATATTTTTTCTTACAGTAGTCTGTTCTCTTCTCTCTAAGTTTACCCTTTTTATCTTCCTGCTATTATTTGCCATCTAGCAGTACATACTAAGTTAACGTCAGTTAAATGAATTGAGAATCTAGGTTTCAGTATGATTTCCAGCTGTACACAGTTGGACATGCTTTGTGAACTGGTGTGCAAACACTGGAGCTCTCTTGAGGGCGAACTGGGAAGGCTGTGCTGGAACATTCCTTTGGAGTCTTTCTGTCATATCAGATCATATCTAGTCAGGTCCCAGTTTGTATCAACTGCTGTAGTCTAGAAATATTATGCTTACAAGAAAAATGAGAGATATGAGCGAGACCTCAGGACAAGGAAGTTGTGTGTGAGACCATGTTGAAGCTTGCTATATAGATTTTATTGCCCTTTGGAGAAATTTTTCTCTTCACTATCCTCTTGTGTTTACACATGTTTAATTGTGTGGCAAAATATTTGTTATAAATACAGATTGCCTGACAGAAATTTGTTGTAGCTTGAATGTTTTGCTTGAACTCTTGCACATTAACTTCTGAAATGTTTTTACTCATTTCTTGGCGATTTATTGAGTATTCTTATCCTGTTAATTTTTCTGTGCCACGAAAGGAAGATGCTATAATTACAAGTTAAAGCTAGTTCTTTAAAATTATTGTATACAGGTACTCTAGCTTTAAGTATGCTTCTTGTGACGTTTGCAGTCTTTGGAGTATTTTAATTTTTTCTTTCAGGTGTCAATTTTGGTTTATAATTGCATTATGAAAAGGAAAATAAATCTTTATCTGAACTGACATCTGTCTTACATAGGTAGGCTTGTTGGGTTTACGTGGCTTTGGTTGTATTAAAACTCATTCTCTGCATCTTTATGAAAAACACATCCTGAATTACAATGTAATCATTCTGATTATGAATGCAATGAAATCTGGCAGGCCTTTATGCTTTTAGCATAGTGAAATGTCATAGATGACAACGTTTATACACTGTATTTTGTCTTCAAATCATCAGTCATTTGTCTTCACATAATCAGTTTAACAAATCCAGAAAAATTTTGCTTTAGAAGTCGTTTGGAATATAGAATATTTGCGTGAGATTTCTGTGGAATAAATATATTGCTCACTGTTATGCAAATGACATGCCCATCATGTGAAATTCGGGCATCTTAGCAGAATACAGGCAAAACAAATGGATTGAACAAGGTACGGCAGTTAAACTGGGAAATCAGACATGTGCTGCATAAATTAGAATTAACTACAGTAATATTGCTGTGCCTGAAAAAATACTAATCTGTCAAGTTTTTCCTTAAATTAAAAAGAAGGTAGACATAAACTCTTCATAAGACTTTGGATACCATTGGCCTTTGATATATAAATTACCATACCGACATATTTAAATAATCAGAAAATTGGTGGCAAGATGGAACACGTGGTGAGTTAAACATTTAACCAGGCTGCATTCTTTTGCAGACTGGTGTAGGAATCAATACTGTGACATTTCAGCCTTATTACAAAGATTGCGGGAAGAAGAAGCAAAAGTTACAGTTACTAGAATTTGGCTTGCTGGGTTTTTTTGTTATTGGTATAAAGCGCATTTGCTGTTTAGATCATACTGACATTTGTAAACTTGAAAAAATAAAAAGTGAGCATTTATAAAAAGAAATACTGTTCCAAACAACTTTTTTTTTTTTTTTCGAAAGTGAAGGATAAAGTACAAGCTTCATGAATCACTTGCAAAAACAAGAACTACAAACCTTGTTTTCTGTAATGATGGTTAAACAGAGCAATATTCCAGCATTCTGGGTGGTGTTTTGTCAGCAGTAATTCATACCTGTGAAATAAAAATAAAAGATGTTATGGTGTGTGATACCACAGCTCTTTGCATCAGGAAAACAAGAAGTAACATGCCAAAATCCTCTTTCTTTCTAAAGAAATGGGAATGTTAGACAGTTCACTTTTTTCTGTTGTAGTTCTGAAATGTTACCCTTGAAAATTTCCTCAAAAAGTGCATGGACTAAAATCTCAAATTCAGCTTATTTTCAGCTTATTAAAGATTTTTTGTCACATTTTCTTTTGGGTAAGTGTAGAAGCAGAAGACTGGTAGTCAATTCCTGAAAAAGAGCTTTTGTCTGGAAATACAGTTTGGGCAATATGGATAATCTGAATCAATTGGATCTATCCACAGCTTCTTGCCTAACTTGTTGGATGCTTGTAGGCTACAGGCACATAAGCTTTCACCGTTAAAGCTCCATAAGCCTCAAAAGTTTTGCTGCTGCTTGTCTGAAGATGGTTCTCTTTTAGCAGAGCTGAGCATTTTTGCAGTGTCCATCTTATATGGCATTCACAGATGTGGTATGGCTGAACCTGAGACTCTTGAGGAGATCTATCCATTCGACATGTTCACACCATTATAACTTAAACCAAAAGTACTGAGTTCTGTACAAAGCAGAACACCATGCATTTTATCTGAAAACTGTTTTCTGGCTTTTTCTTCTGCTCTAGGTTCTTTAGCTTGCTTTAACATTTCTACGTCCTCTAAGGTTCTTGTATTTATCAGTTTTTCTTCAATTATTTTATAAGCTCTTCTTGTACCACAGGAAAGATTGGTGGATAACAGTATTGACCAAACTGCCATGGAGCTGTAACACTTTACAGAGCCTTCCAGCAGGTCTAGAATTTCCTGTCTTGTCCAGAAGATGTTTACATACTTCATCAGGCTTACATAATCTTAATGAGAAAGGACGTTCAGTCCCTATTACACTCTGTGCCATCCTTATGCCCTGGATGCATTAAAATTTTGAGTGAAGAACAGAAAGAACAGAGTCATTCTGGTGGAGGTGTCCATTATCCGTTGCAGCTAATATATGACACCTCAGAACTCTCCTGAGGAAGTGGACAAAGTTTTGCTGGTTTTAAAACAGGAAGGTGAGCTTTCTGTGCTGAGATCCTTCATGGTTCCACCACTGGTCTTAAGATCCTTTGTAAATTTAAGTTAGTTCAAATGAAAGCTAGAAATACTGATTTCCTTCCCTTAGCTAAAAAATAAGTCCCTGCATGTTACTTTTTACCTTTTGAAGGTGAAGTTATCTTTGATTTTGCAGGAAATACGTTCCTACTACACCACAGTCACTAGGCATTTGCCATGGAAATGATTTCACCATTCTTCCCATTTCAGCCTCTTGTCTTGCATATCCCCAGATTAAGAGCTTTTTGAAATTCGTATTCTGAAATGTCTCAAATTCTTATTATTAAATCTTATACTTCAAGGTCTTGGAAGTTTGAACAATTGTTGGTGTGTTGTCAGGATGGTTTTAAAAAGAAAGCTGGCTCTGCAGACTGTTCCCCCCAGAGATCAGAGAATTTTGCTTGATCATGTGTGCTCAGAGTAGTCATCTGCATGTGAATTCCCTAGCTGTTGCTGTTTCTTGACTTAGAAAAAGATGAGGTTTCTGTATGATAGGCTTACTGTAGAACTGTTTGGTTGTGTCTTCATACCATCAAAAAGCAACAGCAGCTGGATGTGAGTTCTTGAGCGGTAAGATCTTACAACTGATACGACAAGGTAATCTCACCTCTGTTGCAAGGTGCCTCTGCTAGTTTTGGGATCAGAGAAAAGAGAAAATTACAGCAGAAAACTACATGCTGGTAATTTCCACTTCATAGCCGTGTCTTTTTTCATCTACCCTGCCCATCTTTCTCCCTTCAGAGGCCCGTTTGCAACTATGTATTCCATCTTCCTCTCTGCTTGTTTCTCTCATTATCCTGGAGTTCTTTGTGTGTGGCTTTGTAAAGAAAGGAATTCAATTGAGGCTTACAGATCCAGGAATTTATTGACTGATCTTTTGCCTCCGTATTTTCTGGTAGAAGGGACCATCATGTTTGTAATTTTCCCTTTCATCCATCAAACAAATGTCAAATACTTCAGCGGTCAGTACCCAGCTTGATGCTGAGAAAGCATTTCACAGAGCACAGCTGCCTTCTCCCTTTTCTTTATTATATAAAAGTTAGCTTTGGTGACAACTTTATTGGCTGAGTCAAGGTGTAGTACATTAGTGATAGCTTTGAATCCTCTGCCTTCTCTGTCCATTGAAGCTCTGGGACAAGATCTCCCACTTTCTTGTGGGCTTACTGCTTTTATAATTAAGGATGATCATATTTGCCAGAAATTTTCTTAGTATTAAACAATTGTGATTAAAGTATTTGGAGTAAAACTTTGTGTCTACATGGCAGGGCATCTTTCATCTTTCTTAAAGCGAACCATGCTTCCTTCATACCATGAGGTTCCACAGTATAGATGATCCTGCTGTTACTACAGGCAGCTGAAAATAATCATAAGGTTGCATATCAACATTTCTCTTTTGAAAATACATGCTGCAAGAAATTACCTGTGCCTAAAACAGTTACCAGGAAACCATTTAACTGAACTTCGTTTCTTTAAGCACTTTGAACATCATGCAACATGCTGCCCAAATTCTTGATAAATGGCTTAGTTGCCTGTCTTTCTTATTGACTGTATTGAAATAATAAAAGTAAATATGGCCATTGGACGCATGCATATCTTTAATGTGCTTTGACTGAGATTGCCTCCTAAAGTATTTGT